AAAAAAAAAAAAAAACTAAAAAAAAAACAAAAATTAAAATACCAACCCCCCCCCCCCCCGCCAAAACTTCTCATGGAACTTCTGGGGCAGGCATGGCAAACTAAGCATGTCTCTGAAAGAGCAGAGATGATGACCACGGCAAAGACTGAAGAACTGGTGAATAAATCAGTTCTTTGGATCCCTCCAGACAAGGAGAGGACAGGAGATTACCCACATGTGCTCTGGATGGTTGATCCTCATGAGGAGACCACAAGACAGCAGTCTCCCATGGGTTTGAGTGCTGGGAGATGAAGGGATCAAGCCATCATGTTCACAACAACAGTGGAGCCTTTAAAAGGACACTGGGTTCACTAACCTCACTTTCTAATCACTTTTGGAAACCATTGCCTATTTAAATTTGCCTATTGCCTATTTAAACAGTGACAAAAGGATATATATATGTTTGAATGGCAAGGGAAAAAACACAAGTTAAATATAAGGTGTTACAAGATGCAAAGGAAACTGGATTTACTTGATTTGAAATTGTATTTTGCAGCTTGTTGTTTGGTTTGGATGAAGGAGTGGGTGTTGCTGAGAAATAGAGGACTTTTAAAGTTACAAGGACATGATCTGAGATTTGGGTGGCATGGATATTTGTGGTATGATAAAGTCAAGATTAATGTAGATTTTAAAAATCACTATGTTAGACATGCCACATTGAGAATATGGAATAGATACAAATCCAGGTTGTGCCCCAAATCACCTTTGTGGCTCTCAGCACAAGAAGCATTTTATAGATGAGAAATAATAGGTAAACACAAATGGCTAACTTATTGTGAGATACTAGAATTCTGTCAAGGGGAATACAAAATAAAATCAAGAGAACAATTGGTGGCAGAGGGTTCTCTTATTTACAATTATTAGAAAGATACAAAAGTAGACAACACAATTTATGATTTTGAACACTGTAAGACTAAGTTTGAAAAAGAATTGTGTACAAATGATGAACATGTAATTGCTAAAATGTACAATCTTTTATTGAAATTTGAAACAGAAGAAGAACAAGTTAAAGAATGTTAAAGTGAGCTAAAATTTTGGTTATAATATACAGATGGAACAATGGGAAAATATGTGGCTGAAAGGATTAAAATTTACACTATGTTATAATCTTAAGAGTATTTTTATAAAATGATATACTGTTGGTATATGTCATCAGAGAAATTCTCTAGGCACTTCAGGCACTTCAAATTTATGTTGGAAATGTGAACAACAAGAAGGGACATTTTATCATGTTTGGTAGACATGTAAAAAAGCTAGAAAATTCTGGATTCAAATACATACACTGATTCAGTGGATTTTAAAGATAAACATACAATTGAGACCAGAGGTTTTTCTTTTGGGATTGATGGACCAGCATCTGGAAAAAAGTTATGGAACTTTGCTTTTGTACATAACTGCAGTGAGATTATTGTATGCACAAAGATGGAAAGATTCAGTACTACCCACAATTGAGGAATTGTTGGTGAAGATAATGGAGCTTGCTGAGATAGCTAAATTGACTTCTTTGATCAGAGAAAAGACAATAGCTACATTTATTGCTGACTGGAAACCCCCATAGATTTTTTGCATGAAACAGAAAAAAAAGGAACTTATGATTTATGGTTTTGATGATTAGACAGGATAGATTATAGAAAGAAAAGAGTTATGTTGTAACTATAGTGTAAGTAAGAGGTAAATTTATAATTGTATTTATAACTGCTATAAAAAAGATTGGGAGCTACTTCTTTGTATCTTTTTTCTTTATTTTCTATTTTTCTTTTTCTTACTTTCCTTTCTTGCACTTTCAGCTTTCTCTTTGATTTCTTTCTTTTTCTTCTCTTTTTCTTACTTTATATTAGCTTGTAGTAGTTTTTTTATTTTCCTTTTAAAAAAATCTTTAATAAAAATTATATGAAAAAAAGAAAAAAAAAGGGAGTTGCCTATTTAACTATCTTAAGGCTATTAGAGACCTTTGGAACAACAAGTTTGAAAAGCCACATGGTGAGTTTACCTTCATTCTTGAACAAGAGAAAAATTAACGATAAGTTTAGGAATTTAAAGAATTGGAAATAAATGGCAAAAAGCTAAATAAGTCTTTGATCTAAGAAAGTTATACACAAATTAAGAATCCAGACAAATTTGGAACATTGAGACTTTTACTATAAGACTTTGGAAATAATTATATTAAATAAAGAGCTTTTCATGGGAACTAAATTGTTTTGTCTACCTTAAGTCATAACAGAGATTGAAGACTTTATGATTTCAGAAATTGGACACTAGAGGGGACCAAAGATTCCAGGGAGAAAAAGCAAAGGAAAAAAGTGTAAACTTGCCTTTGGTTTTCAGTTAGTATGGGGATTTACAAAGTGACACAAAACATTTTAACATTGAAATACTCCAGGAGATTTTTGAAGAATGGGGCCAGAAATTAGTAGCTACAAAGTCAGTAATGTCAGCAGTGATGTCTGCTCCTATGAATGTCTGCTTCTATGGATAGACTATATCCAAAAGATGTTAATGAAGGAACGGCAGATGTGAAACAAAGTTTGCCTGATGCAGAAATATTAGAACCAGAAATACTGGATAATAAAAAAGTGTGGATTATAAGATAGAGAGGCAGCTAAAGTGGAAACACAAATGACAAGCCACGAGAACAACCCGGATAAGGACTTTCTACTGGATATACAAAAGAAGTTTAACCAAGTTTTGAAAATCAAAGTGGAAATACAAATGATAAGCCTAGCGAATGACCTGGATAGTGACTTTTTACTGTATTTACAAAAGGGGTTTGCTTAAGTCTTGAAGAAGCCTTTGGGATGGGAAAAAGAAAAATTGAAGAGGGACCAAATCCTATCACAATATCTGAATAAATTAAAGATCAAGATTGTCAGTAGTGAAAGGAAGGTTGGCTATATAAATTTGGTTTGTTTGACCGTGGTTAAAATAAGACTTGTTTCTACAAAGCTCTGGTAACCTTTTACAGATTTTTTGCTCATACTAGAACTGAAAAGTTGATGATTTATGGATTTGTATATAGATAAGGGATGGATGGAAGAAGAGATATTTGTTTGTAACCTTATAGGGGGTGAAGAGTTATTAAGTTTGCTTAAAATTAGAAGTAACTTCTTTATACATTTCTTTTCTTTATCTTACTTTCTTCTTTTTTTGCACTTTTTATTCTATCTCTCCTTTTTTCTCTGAGTTTAGTTTGTATTTGCTTTTACTATTGTAATTAAAATCTTCAATAAAAATCATACATACACACCCCATTTAAGAGGAAACAAAGAAAATGGTGTCTTTCATTATTTCATAAATTAACTACAGATAAAAGTGACTTCTCTTATTTCCACCAACCCTACACATTTATACAAAATGTAGGAAACAAGAAAAAGGACCTAAAATAGCCTGATGACGACACAGGTTTCTTAGTGGCAACAGAACAGAGTATCTACTGGAAAACCAGTGGATGCCAGTTCCAATGGAATGGAACAGCTTGGAAAAGGGCAGAGCTGGTCCCAACCCATTAAAAATGTTGCCATGTAGAATGTTCCTATTCGTTATCAGTCCCAACCATTTATTTTAATATAATTGCATCTGCATAGATGGGCAGTTTAATTTCATTGCAAATTAGTTACGTGACCTCTGCCTTTGTTCCTTCTTGGTTGCTGACCAATAAATACTAACCATGTACTGTCTCCACAAAGAGATTAAGTCCTCATCGCTTCTCATGGTATCATCCTTTTCAAAATGGTTCCCTAGTCTTTGTAGGCCTTTACGGAATTCTTGAACCTCGGCTTCTAGCAGCCTGGCCTGGGTGTGATAGGTATTTTCAGACTGAAGGCTCTTCAGCAGTTTCTCTTCTTCCTCCACACTCACCAGCTTCAGCTTCTCCAGGACTTTTTTCAGATCCTCAAGCTCAGCCTTCATCTTTTCTGCTCCCAGGGGAGAGGTGTTTTGCATTACATCTACAGACTGCACTTCCAGATGTTTGAATTTCTTTTCTCCACTCCTTACATCTTTTATAATGTCCTGCAGGAGAAAAGAGCTGCAGAGTAAGTGATTTCCCAATCTCATAAAGACAGACATGTTGGGAATACTGGTACTGAGGCAGCAGCACTGAAGTAATGCAAGTGAAATAAATCCACTATGCATTACTACCTATGGACACAAGAAAAGGCCAGTGTGCATTGTGCCCAGGCACCCAGATTCTTCTGATGGCAATTTTTTTGAATCCACCAGACCCGGGCTGGATCAGGCAACAGTAGTTCTTAGATTCATGCCACATCTATGTTGGGGAGCAACAGTATGCATCTTCTCCCCTTACTAGCTCAGCGTCTGATATTACTACACATCTGCGTGGGACTGTCATGCTCAGAGAATGGAGCACCTCAAAATGCTTGGTCCATTCATCAAAACAAAACATAACTTGAGGTCACATAAATACCCAAAAGTCACATAAAATATTTGACTGCTAGCAATTCAGCAGGATTTAGGACTTGGTAACAACAATTCTTTACTTCTGAATCCTTGTAATATCCTTCTGACAGAAATGGCAACTTTCCCATGGTAACCTAATAAATAGGGTCAAACATAGTTTAGGAATCTAGACCTTCCATACATATACAATGATCCTACTCAATACATACAATCCATGAACTGTATTTATCATCAAATGTGGCTATACCCATGCGGTGTTTATCACCAATATATACAAAACACATGTCTGTATTGAGCTTGCAGACCCAACCAGCCATACTGGCTTCTAGTCTTCCTGGATTAGTGTCCTGAATGTAAAACTTGGTTTTCTCCTCCTCTTTGCATTTGTTCAAGGAACCTTGGATTAAATATCATATGAAGAAGCAAATCTGCTGTATCTCAAAGCCTGCTTTAACTGCAGAGAAACCACACCCTCTGTTCTTAAAAAGCACTTTGTCCAACAACTTATGGCTCAGAATGTTGCTTTTTCTGTTCTAAGTGTGCTTCTGAATAGTTCCAAAAAAATCTTACAAGATTGGGACAGCAGGTATACAGTGCAAAAAAGATTCCAGAAATATCTTCAATTAAGTCCTACATTTTGGCCTTATGATAACAGAGCTTCAGCCTCTGAAGGCAGGGCAAAACTTCTAAATTCTAGTAAACTGGATTTCAAGGCTGCAGTAAAACTTGACAATTTAAAAAAACACAAATGTAAAATCAATTCAAATCTAATTTTACATTTCATATTATGCATCTATCATTCTTGAATATGCTCTTGAAAATGGATGTAAAGGAATTTTGCAATGCATTTCCAGTAATAATCAGTGTGGATGTTATCCATTCTTTTGATTTTGCTGTAGCAGAATTATTACCATCAAAGTCTAGTAGCTTTCAACTTCTACTCAGAAAACTGTAAATAAAAATACTTAAAAACCTACTGGAAACAGTGTGCACATAAAGTAGCACTATTCTTTAAAAATAAAACTAACTATGGGGGAATGTACATTTAGAAATCTTGTGTCATTTTTTATAAAAATGGGGGGGGGGAATGATATTATATGGCAGTGCTGCCCTGTTAATACAAACAGTGAAGGGAGCAGGACTTCAGAAAGTCACACATATCTACCTGTGGGAAAATGATAGGTGTACTTCAGGGGAGTCAAAAAAGTCAAGATGGTGGTCACAATGGCTCAACTGAACTCATCTTGATTTTTTTGAAAACAGTTCCTCCACAGAGGGTCCTGGAAGTTTACAAAATAGAACTACAACTTCTGAGCAAAACAACACATTCATAACATAAAAATACTTAATCAAATACCTGTAATGCTTTAATTCTATTTTCTGCTGGCAGTTTTGATTCTTGATTAAGGCAGCAGTTTAATCTTTCTGTTAGCTGGGTCAGCCATAGCTGAAACTGGTCAACACTGATCTTATATCGCTCATGTTCTGTTGTTATCTTTTCAAGTAACACCACTCTTCTCTGAAACAAGAAAAATATCCAAAGGGGGAAACTGAAATATTTTGGATTTTTATAAACTCAGAGCACAAAGAGCTGTTCTCTCATGTCACTTGGTTGTTTTCAGGAATCTGGAACAGTTTGTCTTCAGGGTAAGAACAACATATCCCAAGTGCAAGTGAACTGTAATTATTTAGAATTTAATTAAATGAATACAATATTATAAAGACTTTCATTTCCTTTTCAAGGAAGGAAAGACAGAGCAGGAAGAAAGGTTTAGTAAGGCAACTTCTCATTAATGACAACATTTCAAATATTATATTGAAAAAAATACTGTTAGGAAATAATGTAGAAAACTAAGAAAAAATACAGTTTGATATGCATTATCTTTGTGGGATTTTCAATTTTATGTTTTCACTAGGGGGCCCATGTGGGCTATTCAAATTTCTTAATTCCCCCCCCCCCCATGGAAAATATAAGGGAAACTGTACAGGCAGTTCCCTCAAGGCAAGTGTGCAAATCTGCAAGCTGGCACTAGTGTAGTTCCAGAGTTAGCTAACACTCCTGATTAGTTGGGTCATTTTCTTCTAAAGGCAAAAGAGAGAAAGGCTGGATGAGACCAAGGACGTACCAAATATTCAGCAGGCTGTTTTCCACAGTGGCAACTTACTGATGAGCCAGTAAGGCAATGACTCTCCTTCACTGCTTCCCAGCTATACTGCCTCGGAATATGGAGGTTCCATTCAGATCTCGGTATTATCAGGACTACAAGCTGGGGTAGATTTAACTTTTTCTGAATTAGTCTCCTCTCCTTACAACAGTATTACAACCAGTAGCCACCACCTTGTTCAAGACAACTCCAGGTAGGGGTGTTCATGGGGAGTGTCAAAAAAGTCAAGATGGCAGCCACAACCGCATGACTGAAGCCACTGTTTTGACTTTTTTGACACCCTCCTGTGAATGCCCCCAATTGCTTGTGACTGCTGAGGAATTAACCTTTTTTTTTCTGCCATGAGTTAGATAAAAATGCTCTTTCCATAATCTGCAATTAGCCTCAGGAGAGAGGCTTCCACAGGGAGTAATGGGCACTCCCTTTCCCACCTCAGGGCATTTTTTTCGGGGGGGGGGGAGGATGTTTTCGCTGCAACTGACAGGAGAAAGAACAGCTGGGAACTTCTCCATCTCACAAGGAGGGCTCTAGTCCTGGAGAAGGGATTTCACAGAGCCCTTTGGAGTTGGGCGGCTTATAAGGTCAGACAGACAAATACAATAAATAAATAGCAATGGCTGTTCAAAGTTTTGGAACCTCTGCGTGTGCACTGCTAACATGAAAAGGCATTCTGCCTTTTGACCTTCAGACATGCACAACTAGTTCGCATTGGTGCCCCCACCCCATCAAGCAATGCAGGATCCCTGCAAGTGATGGACGAACCATCCATTAGTAGAGCTGAAAAGAAAAAGGAAAGCAGAATTATTTCCAAAAAGAAGAATGGAATACGATACGGCAGAAAATGAAGACATGATCTGGAAGCTGCAGTGCTGTGGCCATTACATTCATCCCCTGCTCTTGTTCATGGCTTTAATCAGCACATAATCCCGCAAACTTGTCAAATACTTTTGAAATTTCATAGAGTTAAGCCAGTACTATTCTGACATTGTGTGTGTGCGTGCGTGTATGTATGTATGCATGTACATGTGTATGTATGCATGTATATGTGTGTGTGTGTATATAAATAAAAAATCTTTATCATGCAAAGGATTTTTTAAAAATACAATAACGTGCAATAGTAAATCGCACAAAATTAGGGTATTTTTAAAACTCCCCTACCCCATTACTTTTTTCTTGGTACATTTTACTTATTTTCAAATACTAGATCATAGTTCAGACAGGGAGACTAAACTCTGATGTGTTAATGAATTTTAGCAGAAAAATAACTGCTTGTAACTTGCTTGCTCATTTTTTTTCTTTGTTTCAAACATTTTCCACTCCCCCCTTCTTTTCTAGTCTATTTCTTTGTTTATAAGGATAACTTACTTACCTTTCTAATTTCAGAATAAAAGTAAAATAAAAAAGGTAAAAGTACAAAAATAAAATGTAACAAGGTTTAAATTAAAGCCAAGAGACTAAATTTTGGTGTTTCTTACTACCAATGATCATTACTGAAAAACTGAGGCTTTTGAAAATGCATTTAAACATTGCTCAGAAGAATAGGGACTATGACATTTTTTCCAGGAACCACCCCAAACAGTGCCCTACAGTGAGAAGATTATTATGAACCTATAAATTAGAATTAATATATCATAACATTGTCTTGTTGCCTTGGTGCCTTGTGCATCAGGAACACAACCTTCTTTGGAACACAATGTACAATAAGAGCCTTGAAAAACCAAAGGGTAAAGCTCTATAAGTGTTCTTCAAGTGTAACCAATGCAACAATTAGACAAAAAATAAATTTCTATTAGTAAATGAACATTTTCTTTCCGGTCATACTTGCCTCCGGTCCAGCAGGAAGGGCACGTTATGGACCCTGTCGGCTAAAGAATTTCAACTGGCGGGTCTAGGAGAGCCTTTTCTGTCATTGCCCCTGCCCTGTGGAACATCTTGCCCCCGGAGGTGAGATTGGCCCCGACTCTTCTGGCCTTCTGGAAGAGTGTTAAGACCTGGCTCTGCCAATTAGCATAGGGATCACATGGAGGTTTGCAGCACTGGGGGTGGTTGGTGGTTTGAAGACGCTTTCTCTGCCTTTTAACTTGTATAATTTTACATAGATTTTTATTGTTTTTTATCGCTTTTTTACTTGTAAGCTGCCTAGAGTCACTTGTACAGTGAGATGGGCAACATATAAATTTGATTAGTAAAATAAAATAAATATCTTTAAAAACATACAGATTATAACTGTGCTTCTCTTTATTTGCTTTCACAGGTGACTTCTATTTGGGCCAGGGTTGCCTTGGTAACTTTATTATGTTCATGATATAAAATATGAAAAGATGTTCCATATAAATGTCCCTATGACTGGAAGATTTAGGGAATTAAATGGGAGGGAAAGTTTAAAATTAAACCTAACTAAGACAGATGTGGTATTCCAATCTGATTTGGGAGCTTTAGAAATTATTTGTAAAAAGGAACAAGAGGCTCAGATGCATGTTATTAATTATGGTTGTGTTTCACTCTGAAACATGAAAAAATCAAAATAAACAGGTGAGATAGACCAATAATGAGATTCTGTATAAGATAATGTCATGTATTCAAAAATTGCAGTATGTTTAAAGTGTTCCTGAACTTTGAGAAATGTTGGAATAGGGTTTTCTACTCACTATGGCCGTGAATAACCCCACCCATTCCTTAATTGATGGCCTCAATAAAAAATGTAAGAACTAAACTTAACAGTTAAACCAGATCCAAATTGAAGGGTTATGGCGAAAGCTTTCCACTAAACTAGACTGTGCAAATACTGAAATACCACTGATCTTTCAACTAAATCTGGAATGAGAGGAGAGGATCCCCAGTAATTACTGTAGCAATGAATGATCACCCAATCATTTAGGCTATGCCTGGCTGAAGACGGAATGAGAAAAGAGTTGGAACAAAGCTATAGAAATATTTCAGTAGTGTAGTTGACAAAACTGAGAAGAATGGAGGCAGAATAGTGAAAACACTCTTTAGTACTAGGTGGAAGAATGTGTGTTACTCCTAGCAGGTAACTAATTGAAGCATTAAAACTGCTCAGTTTATGAGAGGAAAGGCCATTATTTACAAAAGGCCTAAAATACTTCATAAGCATGAGTAAAGGACACATAGAAAATAGGTAGAATGCTTCAAAAAGAAAAAAAAGTGCCACATCTATCCAGATCAAATTTGCCTGCCGCAACCCTAAACCCACTGACTGATTTCTCTGGCTCAGCACAATGTGTAAAGTTGTGATTTGTAAATTATGTGCGAACCCAGCCATTGTGGCTTATTCAACCATCAGGGCTAAAAAATAAGGATGGCATAGCGTGGGATCTCTGCCACCATCTGCAATCCCTGACCAAAACAAAAGGGGGTTTGCTGATTTGTGCAGCTGTTAGGCAAATTAAATATAGGGGACAGGAAATGGAGTAGAGGACACCCACTGCAACATCTGCTTTGCTTTTCAATTCTGCCTTCACTCTGAATTTTTCTCACCTCTGCTTCATTCCTGATTTCTTCATATTCCTCCTTCATCTTTTTCTGGACATCTTCATCAACACTTGCATCTCCAATCCGGTTATACAGAGACATGGCTTCCTCCAGCAGCCGTTCCAGCAAGGTTGACTGATTCTGAACATCCTTCAGTAGAACCTGAGCATGGCTAAGCTGCCATTGCTTCTCCTTTAAGCCAAGCTGCAACTCTATGTCAGGTTCCAGGGTCACCTTCATATTGTGAAGCCAGGTGTAAAATTCATCCTGGGCCTTCAAGTATTCACTCCAGTGCAGCCACACCCACTCAATGCGGCTGTTGGAACAAAAAAAGATAGCTAGATACATTAACTCTGCCTTCTCCAACATTAAAGAGAATTGTGCTGGATATAACTCCCATCATCTCCAGAGAGTATGACCATTAGTAGGTGATAGTTTAACATATCCAGAGGGTACTAAGCTAGAAAGCCTACAAAATATAAACGGTACTTGCCAAAAAATCCCAAGATGTGGCATTCCTCTGAGGTCCCCAACCTGTTCCATGCAAATGTTGCCCCCATGGTTGCCTTCCAGCACTAGCACATATACTTTTCCCTCATATTATTGTTCTTTCAACTTTTTTAAAGAGGTACTCTGAATGAGCTTAGCTTTAGTCATCACATTAATCCATGATCTGATGCTATGCAAAAGAGCCTTGAAGGATGCTTGGGCATCTTTTTCCCTTGCTACAATTTTCTTCTTCCTTTTCTGATGGGCAGTACACTACAGTTTTGGAATTGGGAAAATATGGTTTGTTATTCCTCTGCATACCAGAACTGAAGGTATTCATAGTTCACTAAGAGATGACATGTTTTGCATGGAGAAGGGCCTTGGATCACTCCTAGGCATCCCACTCCACTCCTAGTACTGGAAAAATTCCTGCCTGAAAATCTACAGAACTGTGGCTAATAATAAAACATATAACATATGAAAAAATAAATAAAATCACAAACACTCACATTAATTTCATAAAGTCATAATAAATAATACTGCCATACACCTCCCAGTATTTAATTATCACATCCCTAATTACCAAATGCCTGCTTGAATAGCCATATTTTTTACAATTTTATAAATATTGGTAGTTACAATATTGGGCTAATGCACCAATGGTTCTTTAGATCCCTATACTGATTCATGCTGCAATATCACAACTGATTTATTTAGCTTCTTCTATCATACAGAATGGTAGAAAAAACTGGGTAGGCACCTCCATTTGCTAAATGAAGCCCAGGAGGATGCCACGGAGTTAAATGCTCACTTTTCTGTTGCATATATCTCTTTTACAAGATAATCTAGGCCCATAATTTGGGCACCTGAAAACAGATATTTGAGCCACTCGAAATGATCCAAACTCTGATTTATTATGATGTGATGTTTTCTCTGGATAAATTCTCTAGGGTTAGCAACAGCCAGTGACTTAGCTGCTCTGTATGACATAAGCACTGAAATCTTTGGAAAAGACTGCTGAGCCCATGAGGACAATTAGAACCTTAAAAATACAGCAGCCAATGAGGGAGGGATAGAGCCAAACTACTGGTGCCCGTTTCCCCTCACCTACAAAACATTAGAGTTCTTCACTCACATATACTAAGAGTACAAAGATAGTTCTAATATTTGTGATTGGTGGAAATATAAGACAGTTGGTTGACATATGGCATAATTCATAATTCTAGGATGGTATTAAGCTTGTGTCTTGTTGGTTGAGAAATATGGGAGTTGTAGTATAGTATATCCAAAGATACTCGGTCATAAAATGTTGGTCTAGGAAGCAATATTGATCTCTCGAGATTCCATTTCATTTGCCACGATTGCTTGCTACCCACCCACCCAGTTAGAGTAGATACTTTTTTCATGGGCAAACTAGAAAACCAATCAGAATCTGGAATCTCCAGAAAGTGGTGGCAAAGGTGGACAAATTTGTCATTTTCAGTCTGGTTTAAGAGCCCTGCTCAGATTTAAAGGACACTGGTTGTAAACCTGCTTGGGAATCTTACCTGTGACAATGAGTAATGTATATGGCTGTTTCTTCCCACATGGCCTTAACATCCTTTAGCCTGGATAATATTTCATGTTTTTGTTCCTCACTGATACACTGAAGCAGAGCATCAGCCTTCATTAGGACCAAATCCATTTTCAATCGCCCTTCAGGTTCCAAAGCACAAATTTTCTATTAGGAAGAATTGTACACTAAAATTAAAACATGAATATATTATTTAATGGATTTTTTGCAGAAATATATTTAAAAAGAAGAAAACCAGATCTGTACTCCTTTAATACTGGAAAATTAAGGACTATAAAATATTGGTTGCTTAATTCAGAATAAAAAGAAGGAAATGCACTGAGTGAGTGGATGGGAAAGGAAGAAAATTGGGGTAAAAGAGTCTGTATCATAATAGGGTTAATTCAATCTTCCCTTCTTGTGCTTTAAAATAATTTATGCATAGGGACATTTTAACTGACACATTTAATTTAATATAAATCGTGTGTGTCTGTATTATCTGTAGTAGTTTTCCCACTAAATAAAGTTGGGCTAGAATTATGCTATTAGGGGCACATTTTAACTGAAAGTCACATCAACTGATTTAATTAAGTTAATGAACTGCAAACTAATCTTCTAGCAAGGGGGACATATAAGCATAATCAGACTTCCACATTTATAGAGTAATTTTGTGCATTTTGCTCTGAAAAATACTGGGCAGGGGACAAAGAGCTGCTAGGATAGATGCAAGTGTGTGTGTGTGTGTGTGTGTGTGTGTGTTGGGGGGTCTGTTCAGATTAGATGATACCACTGAGATTACACATCTTGAAATATTGACTTTCTTCTTTCCTCCCCATTCTTTTTTCCTTTTGGTGTTGTGCTTGTGTGATCCTGAAAGCAGGTGCTACCTTATTTTCAGTATTTCTATAACACCAAGTCTTCACCCCCAACAATCAATTATCATTCTAAAGCCATTCAGCAGACTCAGCTTCCATAGGACTGGTGGTTTTTTGGTGGTTGACAGGCAAACACTGCTTTGTCTTTAGGTGTTTTATCTGCTAAAGATCTTTTTTATTTTGTTGTCACTCTGGGAATTCCCTTGCAAGGGTGGTTTGACAGTGTAGTAAGATGTGGAGAGGTATGGTGGATAGTGTTGGTATAAACTAATTTTAGTTTTTTTTTCTTTTTCTTATCTTCTGCCTTAATTTCTTGACTTTTACTTTCTTACTCCTTTTCCACACTCTTTTCTGCACTTTTCTGTTGCTAACTATAAGGTATAATAGCACAATAGATATGCATGTATGAGGTTTCCCTGAGCCTATGCCCACCTTTCTCTTGTGTATGGATGAAAGCTGCTGTTTTAGTTCCAGAAGAATCCACATTCATTGGAGGATGAATTGCTGCTAGTATATAGGAGAAATTTACCAAGTTCTATTCATCTCCAGTATGTCTTATTCTTATTTATGTGTTATAGACTACTTGAAAGAGGGATTATATATCCAAACAGATACTGTAACCAGCTATTTACAGTATGTATAAAAATGAAGAATAATGGATTAGATTAAGGTCCCTTCAATAAAAAGAATTTCCCATCAAGACTGTAGGCTCATGACTTCTGGTGGGAATTAATTGTGGTTTAATCATCTTTGATGAACTGGAGCTGGCACCACAGCAGAGATTGGCACCCAGAAGCCAGCGCTGGATGCCATAGTTCGTCCAGATGAAGGAGAGAGCATGAAATAACCCATCGGATCTCCGGACAGCTGCTCCCGATGAGTTAACTGCAAAAACGGAAGCTTTTGCAGTTTGCTCACAAGTTGAGCGACTGGGAGATGTGGGATTCCATCTATGTGGTGCAGCCAGCTTGGACATTAGAACCAGTCAATCCCCATTTCTTAATCACATTTGGATTTAATTATTCTTCAACCTGAGGGTTTTTTTTACTACAGATAAGTACCTCCCTTAGTGATTTTCAATTTTGGGAGGGGATTATAAATTTAAAAGAAGATTTAAAGTCTTAAAGTTGAAAGAGTATTTGACAAAAAAGCATAATAAGGGATGATATAAGAAAGTTAAAAACAGATGAAGGGGAAGGCTACTTTAATTTTTTTTTTTTAATGAAACTGCATTATGAAAATCCTAACTGAATTAAAATTGTCTCAGACCGTTTGTGGGAATGCTGTTTGACTATTTGTCACCGGAAAAATTGTTTAAAATGTATAAAGGTACTTCAAATTTATGTTGAAAATGTGAGCAACAAGAGGGGACTTTTTATCATGCTTGGTGGACATGTAAAAAAGCTTAAAAAAATTGGATCTAAATACATACATTAATTCAGAAGATTTTAAAGATTTATATACAACTGAAACCAGAAATGTTTCTTCTAGAACTGACTGACAAAAAGTTGGAAAACACTCATAGAACTTTGTTTTTATATATGACAACAGGAGCAAGACTTTTATATGCACAATGGTGGAAAGATTTGGTGTTACCCACAATGGAAGAGTGGATGGTGACGATGATGGAGCTTGCTCAGATGGCTAAATTGACAGCCTTGATTAGAGAAAAGGTACTGATTAATGTCAATTGGAAACCCCTTTTGGACTTTTTGCATGAAACAGAAAAAAATGAAATTATGATATATGGGTCTGATGATAGAAAAAAATGGAAGTTATGTTGTAACCACAGAGTAACAGTTCAATTTAATTTGTACCTATAACTGTTGTGAAAGAAAATTGGAAGTCATTTCTTTATATTTTTTTCCTTTCTTTTCTTTCTGCACTTTTGGCATCATCCTCCCTCCCTCCCTC